TTGTACACCTCCCAGAGTCTCTCTTTGAGGGAGAAGGGAAGCCTAAGTACAGTATATGCTATCAGCTGCTTGAATTTTCACCAAATAATTAAACGAGCAGATTAATCAAAGCACTATAAGCAAAATATTGCAAATGATAGGATGTTCACATTAGTAAAAACTGGTGAATGTCCTGGTGGAGATAGGGAAATCCGTATCTCCACCAGGGATTTAATCATCCAGTTATTTATGAGATGCAAATAAAACTTCTGTTTGATACTAATAAAGTTTCTCATCTTTTGAGTAAATTTAGGAGACATGGGATAAAAAAAGTTGCCTTTTTATAGACTACTAACTGACTAAAAAACAAAACAAAAAAGAAAGCTAAAATAGAAATAATTGGGATATTTTCTCAATGGAGAGATATAAGAAGTGGAGGACCTCAGGCATCTGTGTTGGGGCTGGTGCTTTTTAAGTTGTTCATAAATGATCCTGACTTAGACTTGAGTTTCAAAGTTTGCAAATGTTACTAAACAATTCTGGATGGTTAAAAAAAAAAAAGTGTGTGTGTGGGGGGGGGGATTGTGACCAACTCCAGAAAAATATTTTTTAAAATGGCTGATTAGAGAATCCAGGGGCAAATCTGACTGAATTTAAGAAAGTGAAGAGAGATGCATACTGGGACACCTATAACTTCATGTATACACTGATAGGATCTGAGCTATCCACCAACCATCCTAGAAAAAGACATTAAGAGCCTACTGCATAGCCCAATGAAGATGGCAACTCTGTGTAGCAGCTGTGAAAACATAAAAGCAGAATCAATGCTAAGGAACATTAGAATAATTAAAATAATCTAACCTCATGGTTAGATTATTGCAACGCGCTCTGCATGGGGCTACCCTTGAAAAGTGTTCGGAGACTACAGTTGGTCCAGAACGCAGCCGCGAGAGCTGTCGTGGGTGCACCTAGGTACACCCACATTACACCAATTCTCCGCGAGCTGCACTATTGGTCTCCGGTCACAATTCAAGGTGTTGGTTATTACCTTTAAAGCCCTACATGGCTCAGGGCCAGGGTATCTTCGAGACCGCCTTTTACCGCATAGCTCCCAGCGACCGGTAAGATCCCACAGAGTTGGTCTCCTCAGGGTCCCCTCAGCTAAACAATGCCGACTGGCAGGCCTGCGGGGGAGGGCCTTCTCTGTGGCTGCCCCAGCTCTCTGGAACCAGTTACCTCCTGAGGTCTGGACCATCCCCACCCTATTGGCCTTCCGAAAAGCGGTGAAGACCTGGCTCTTCCGGCAGGCCTGGGGCTGTTGATCTCGCTGCTGCGATTTGGCGAGATCCGGCCATGAATGGTGTGAATGGGTTTTAATTATTTTTAATGGTTTAACTTTTAATGTTTTATATATGGTTTTTAAATGCATTGAGTCTTCAGAGAAAGGCAGCATACAAGTTGAATAAATAAATAAATAAATAAATAAATAAATAAATAAATAAATAAATATGCCAAAATTGTTATGCTCTTATATAGATCTATAATCTATGTTATGATCTTATATAGATCTATGATCTATCTGCAGTTTGATTTATGCAGAATGATTTATGTTTATATAATTGAAGAGGAATATAATGGAACAAATAAAATTGCACAAAAGGACAATAAAAATGATTGGTGACCTAGGAATTAATAACCACAAGATATATAATGGGCATTAACATGGATGGCTTTAAAAGTCCAGAAAAACCCCATTGGTCACTGTGAAAAACAAAATGGAGAGCCAAAGTGGTACAGTAAGTAAGGTATTGAATTAGGATCAAGGAGATCAAGTTCAAATCCATTCTCAGTCATGAAGATTACTGAACTTGATGCTAGACATTCGCTCTCAGCCCAATCTACTTAATAAAGGAAATGCTACAACTGCTGCCGGAATAGACTAAGTGTAACCTGTAAAATGAAGCGAAATAAAATAGAACACAATACAACCCAATAACCTGGCTCAATAATGGTAACTGCGAGAGGGATCTTGGAGTCCTAGTGGACAATCTCTTAAATATGAGCCAGCAGTTACCAAATTGCTGCAGCTACCAAAAAGCCAATACAGTCTGCATTAACAGAAAGATAGAATCAGGATCATGTGAAGTGTTAATACCACTTTAAAATGCCTTGGTAGGACCACATTTGAAATACTGCATCCAGTTTGCTTGCCACAATATAAAAAAGAGGCTGAGACTTTAGAAACAGTGCAGAGAAGACCAACAAAGATGATTAAGGGACTGGAGGCTAAAACAGAAATAGAATGGTTGCAGGAATTGGGTATGTCTAGTTTAATGAAAAGGATTAGGGGTGACATGATAGCAGTGTTCCAATACTTAAGGGGCTGCCACAAAGAAGAGGGAGTCAAGCTATTCTCCAAAGCACCTGAAGGCAGAAGCAATAGATAGAATCTAATCAAGGAGAGAACCAACCTAAAACTAAGGAAAAATTTCCTGACAGTGAGAACAATTAATCAGTGGAAGCTCTGATACTAAGCTTGACAGCTGGGGAGCCACAGAGTAGAAAACCTGAGTGGGGATGTCTTCAAAAGGGACTCCCCTGCTAATCTAAGTAATGGAAAGATTAACGGAAGAGACAATCCTTCTGATAATAAGGACCTAAAACTATTTACAATGTTAAAGGTCAATGCCATCACCTTAAATTGAGCCCAAGAGTCAATAATCAGCTAGTACGGGTCTTTTAGAATAAGCTTCACGTGATCCCTGTACTCCAGTTAAGCAGCCTGGCATTTTCCACTAATGGCATTTTCCAGATATTTTTCAAGTCTAACTCCACATAAATTGCACTGCAGTAATAAAGACGGCATGCAGCCATTGCTAAATTTGACCAGCACAGAAAAGATTGCAGCTGGTACTTCCAACAAATATGATGCACTTTACTGGTGCCTCTCCAAATCAAATGGCAGTTGGAGGTCAGGGAACAATCTTCAACTGCAACCTTATCTTGCAGGAGAACAGCCTCTTGATTCAAAAGAGGCTTCACTTCTCTCCCCAAGAATCTATTTTCCTCAACAGCACCTTCTTCTTCTCTAGAAGGCAAGCTTAACAGACATGTAATGTAGGGAGGATTTTATTCGCAGGAGTAGCAAATCAGCAACAGGGAATGCTCTACGTTCAAGATATTTCTATATCCAGTTGACAGAACATCTTCTTTGGGGCTGGTAATATGCTTTCAGTTTTCAAATCTGATCACATAATCCAGTGGAATGTATAAACACACACTTGTCCCTCTTTTTTAAAATGTAATTTTCCATTTGCTATACAAGCTGCTTATATACAATAATCTTTTTACAAGGCTGTTAATGTGAAAATCTCTTGGTTGGGTTCGATATTTCTTGTTTTCTTCAATAATGTATTTTTAAGGGAAAAGCTCCAAAGGATTTCTGGAGAAATGTTGTGTGTAGGTCCACTTTAAAGCCATTTAGTGCCAGGTAACCTTCTTCAAGTTATTTGCTTCATCATAATCTATTTGTTTGGAGAACACAACCTAGAAAATCCAGAACTGTTGGATTTTAATTCCTGTCAGCCCCAGCAAGCATGACTGATGAAAGGGGTTGATGCAAGTTGAAATCCAAAATTTCTAGAGGACATTGAATTGTTTATCCATGCTAGTTTTCACCAGTTAAATAGGTAGTGTGTAGACTGGAGGGTTGAAGGTATTTTTGTTGTTCTAGAACAGGAGTGTCAAACTGGTGGCCTGCAGGCTGGATGCATCATGCACAGGCCATGCCCACCCCAGCTCCGCAAAGGCAAAAACAATGTGATATGTCATGTGATGCAATTGAGTTTGACACTCATATCCTGGAACCTTTAGTAGCCTGAAGTAGTACAGCAAAGATATGAAATTTTGTATTCTCCACAGACAAATAGCAGTGATTGTCTAATGACATTTCCTAACAATTTTGTGTTTTGAGCACTGCAAATTGAGATTAGTAATACAGAGGATTTGCATAGATGGTGCTATACGCAACACAATGTCTTTAAATACAATAGTATAACTTGCTTTTATTTTGCTTTATTTTATTTTGCTAAAATAAACCCCTGGTCCACCGTTTTGTTCTGTTTCTTCACTGGAGCTATGTAGGGAATGTAGATTCATTCAAAACAGCAATGGATACTTGGAATCATAATTAAAATAGTTTGAGTATGTTACTTTGCAAAACTTGAAGCTAAGCAGAATTCTGCCTAGATTGAATCTGGATGGAAGACTGCTTGAAGATTAAGATAAATGTGAAATTAAAAACTTACTGTGTCAGCCCACAGAATATAGGAATTTTAAAAGTGGAGTAATGAAGGGGCTCATTAGTTCAGTCTTCTCACCTGGAGGCAATTCATGGTTCCTCAAATTGTCATTCTTATCTCTATCTCTTCTCTATTCTAATTTATCTTTGCAGAATAGACTTCTTCAACAGACAGATTTGTATATGTTGGAGTTACAGATTTCAAAATCCCTTGCCAACATTGTCAAAAGCTGACCAGAAATTTGGGAATTTACAATTCCAAAATAACTGATGGACATCAGATTGAGGAAGTTTGCTGTAGAATTAATCAACATTGGAACCAGAATAGTAGTACAGAAGGAAATAATTTCAATTGGAGACAACTGCACTTTACTATAATTTACTAAACCGTAACTCATTAATGTTTTTCCAAATCGATTGAAAGATATCATGCTACTAAGTAAAGGTCAAACACACAGGCAGGGGTTTTTAAAAGCAGTGGGATGCATAAAACTCCTCACAAACTCAAATATGCCTCTTAGCGGATAAGTAGATTAAGACATAAGAAGATATATCTGTCAAAGATACAACAAGATCAGTTAATCAATGACCACTGATGGTATCTCCACTGAATAAAAGGCATAGTAAAAAAAAATCATCAACAAAGAGAAAATAAAGTAATTAAAGTTTTCAGTTCAGTCTTCAAAGGACAGATCAGCTGGGCATTTATCTTCATAATTACCTTTAACAGTAACCTGAGCACAGCAGGAAGCTTTTCCAGCAGCATTTTCTGCCAGACAAGTATATACTCCATCATCTTCTGGTAAAGCATCTTGAATAGTCAATTTCGCAATTCCATCTTCAAAGTCAGAACACACATACTGAATTTGTTGATCTACAGAAAACAGAAGGAAAACCAAGAAATTGGCTGACGATCCCAGTTTGCACCCACAAAAGTATAATGGAATAGTTTTTCCTCAAATATGGACCCTTTTAAACTAAATCTGTATTATGCACAATCGTTCACCATTTGATAAAGCATTTACGACAGCCCCAGCAATAAATTATTGTGGACACTTATAAACTAGATGAGCAGATTTAAAAACAAAAAAGCACAGTGATTGTATACATACATCAGACACTTTGGCAAGTGCCTAAAACTGAAAGTAATTCTTTCCAAGAATGATTCTTATTGTCTCTTTAGCACAATTTATTGTGATGAAAAAAATGATGATATTACAAGAACTCTAGCAAGTGACTACTTCCCATTTAGAACCAATGTGACAGAATAGAGAATTTAAACACTGTCTGCCATCTGTCACATAATCTCCCAGACATACCGTCAATACTTGCAGCTGATAACTTGAGGATGGAAAAGAGCTGGGAAAATCAGATAAGGCTTCTTTACAGAACAGGGACAAACAATTAAAAGGCTAATAAGACAAAAAGGGCTAATAAGACAAAATGGGAATAAGTAATTTCAGACAAGGAATTTTCTGGATGATTCAGGAGCACTGAAGATAAATCAGCATGGATACCTCTGTGCAAAAAAAAAGAAGACATGGCATGATGGTAAAAGAGACATGCTATCCAGCATAGATGCCCAGAGAGGGAGAAAAGGATCCAAAGTCTAAGACAAAGTTCAAAATGCCAGCTATGAGAGATTGCCAGTTAAGTTTTAACTGAAGCCCTTGATTAACTCTATGGGGAATTTAGTAATGGCTATGTTGATAGCAATAGCCTAAAATAGGCACATATAGTAATTATAGGAGAAGCAATGTTATTCCAGGGAATGACAGAACTAATATTGGAATGGTAAAGCAAATAGGTCAAATATCAATTTGATACATTCTATTCTTCTAAAGTAAAAAGCAGCAAAACTTGAGAGATTGGTCTTTTGATCTTCACTTTAAGTTAATCTAGAGAAAGTAAATTTTTCTACCTTTAAAATTATATGAATAGACAAATTTTGTCTCATAATATATATTTGGAAAGAGACCTGATTTTCTAGTAGGCCTTCTGTAATGTGATGGGAAGTGGGTATCTTAAGTGATAATGGATAATTTTGTACCTGGCTGTTTACATAATGATCTCATGAATCTTTATCACTCTGGAAATCATTTATTTCAGCAGATATAGATACAAAATGCCAATACAAGTAAAATCTAATTTAATTTGAAAATTCAAAAAAAACACCTTTCCTTCATGTAGGGAGCCATCTTTGCTTCACAGCAACTTTGAAAAGTCAATTCATTAGATAATGAACATAATACTTCTGCCTATTTTCCCAACAACAACCCTCTGAGTTTGGCTGAGAGAAAGTGACTGGCCTGAACTCACCCAACCTAAGGAAAACCTATATATATTTCTGTTCAACTTCTGTTTGTATTAGATCAATTTAACAGAATCTTTGATAGAACTTTCCTTTCTTTAAAAAAGTTTCAGCAAGAGAGAAAGAAAACAAGAAAGAGAGAAAGAGAAAGAAAGAAAGAAAGAAAGAAAGAAAGAAAGAAAGAAAGAAAGAAAGAAAGAAAGAAAGAAAGAGAAAGAAAGAAAGGATTTAAAAAAAGGCAAAGTTGGGAGTGTAGGAAAAGAGTAACTTCAGACCTTCTTTGCTAGATACAGATATAAAGTATAGTAACCTCTTACTCTAAGATTAACAATAGTACATAGTATTTCTATAATCATGAATAGTTCTAATTGTCAAATCCTAAAATTAGAGTTTCTTTTCAGTTTCAAACAAAAAGTCCAAACATGGTCTCCATGTAGAAAAAAAAGTCTTTTCTATAATCAAAGTAGTCAGTTTCACCATCTCATTCCATTAGCTAGTTCCATTAGCTACTTTGATAGAATTTTCCTAAGGAATTTCTTGAGCTGAAAACACGAAGGGATGATTCTTTCTTTCCATAAACCGCAACTTGGTTAACAAATTGTTCTTGACATTGTTTATCATGAGCTGCATGCTGTTTTTATTATTTGAAAATGTATATGGAATTCTAAGCATAACCAAGGACATAGTGTAAAAATCAGTTTACGTATAACGTCAACATAACTTTGAAAGAATTTGAACAAGGAAGGTGCTTCTACCACAAGTCATTTAACATCTACAAATCAATCTGGGATGTAAAATTGTTTCTTGAGATATCAAGTTGTTGGTGGATGAGTGAGGATGTGTTGTATGTTGGAGCGCCAAAAATTTCTGTGTGGATTTTTTTTTTTTTTACTGTTGTTGTGAACCACCCGGGGTTATGTTGCATAAGATGGGGTGTCTGTGTGAGGGCTATATAAATAATTTAAATAAGTAAATAAATAATCTAAAAAATCCTAACTGTGGCTAAATAAAATTTAAGGCACAGGATTACATTAGCAATCTTATATATTTCTTTGAGTCTATTTTGACTATCCTTTTTTTTTTGTTGTTGTTCCTTCAAGTCATTCTTGACCTGTGGCAACTGTCTAGCGGTTTTCTTGCCAACACTTTTGGAAGTGGTTTGCCGCTGTCTTCTTACTAAGGCTGAGAGACAGTGAAAGGTCAAAAGTCACCTATATAGCTTCAAGCCTAAGGGAGGACTAGAACTCAGAATGGTCCTGGTTTCCAGCCTGTTGTCTTTAACCACTTCACCAAACCAGGTCTCTAATTATATACAGGCCTCTATTAAAATCTAGTCCTGCCTTTGGTTCCATGGATCCTGTCTTTGTTTATAGAATTCAAACCTGTACAGATATTTAGCATACCCTTACCTTATATACTTTTAATCTTGCCTTCTAAACTAGAATGTCTAACAGACACTGTTTGGCCTAAGTTCAAAGAGATAGTTAAGTACTATCTGTGTACTATGGAATCTTCTTTAAAAGCAACGCAAGGTTATTCGAGGCTTGAAAACCACTGGATCCATGTTTGACCCAATATGGAAGTATCCTAAACTGTAAATTCCAAACATCAAGCTACAGCTTGCCAACTGAACAATATTTTAACACAGTATTATCCTGAGTTGCCACTTAGGCAATATACCATAATTAAGCATGTTGGGTATTAGCAATCATGAATCAGGACTGCAATTCTCATCTTTATTGGGTAATAGGCAACTATCCTTTCCTGCAATATAATCATTTGCTGAATGTTAATAGATAGTTTGAATTCACAAGGATAGTGTAATTACCCAACTTGATTCTTAAATAAAATTATCCTAAAAGGTATATGGCGAGAAGCTGCATGAAAACTTAGTGTTTGGTTATAGTTTATAAACTAGACCAAGCCAGTACCAAATGATATATAAACAGCTCTGCATCATGATCAGAAGTGTGTGAGAGAGTTATTTGTGAGTGCTGTAACTTGGGAACAAAAGTAACATGTTTATGCCTTGCAGATAAAACACTATGTCCCCTTCATAATTACAAATTCCTGACACTTCTATTAGGCAAAACCATCTTCTGTAGAACCAAAATTCAGGTTTTAAGTTCCAAAGCCCTAAATGGATTGACAGTTAATTTTTTTTAGAGAATGGATTGACAGTTAATTTTTTTTAGACTTTTCTTCCAGATCCTTTGAATGAACCCAATTCTGAATGTGGCATTAAAAATGCACATTCACACTGCAGGGGGAAAAAAACCCCGAGATTCACTGAAGCATGTACAGGTTGTCCTCAATTTACAACCATAATTGCTCCAATTGTTCTCACCTCTGAATTCCATATATCCCTGCCATTTGTAAATCAGATTTTAAAAATGTATTTTGCTGATAATAAATACAAAGCAACAACATAAAGTACAATAGCACTTATCTATACTGAAATTTATAGTTTATATAGTAATCGATTGCTGTTGTTTCTATTACATAATAGAGCAAGAACCAGAATCACCTATGGAAGAGCAAAAAACTAAGCCATAGTCAATATGCATAAATCAGTAGTCGTAGTTGATCAATGGCTTAAAAGACACCAGAGAAGGTCTATACTACGGCAGTTCGAGTCCTACCACCACGTGACAGAGTGAGCTCCCATCACTTGCCTCTGTTCCTGCCAGACTAACAGATCGAAAGCATGTAAATGCAAGTAGATACATAGGTGGGATGGTAACAACATTCTGTGTTTCGGTGTATGCTTTGCGCTGCAGAGTGATGTCATGCTGCCCACAAGTCTTCAGACAGCACTGGCTCAATGCCTTAAAGAAATGGAGATGAGCACTGCCTCCTAAAATCCTCTATGACTAGTGGAGTAAAACTGCAGGGACACCTTTACCTTTCTGCAAAGAATCAATGTGTATGGAGAGTTACATACAGGTGACCTCTAGCAGAAACTCCTGCTGAGTAATTGGCCACGGAAGAGCAAGTACAAGTAGTTCCCTAATTTTTCACTGTCATTCACAGAAACCCTGAAGATGAACCACACATGAAAGGGGATTCTCTTTCCTTACTTCAACAGAATCCCACACTCGTGAATACTGAATGCTTAAGAATTATCGTTTTTGACCTTCAGGAAAAAAAATGAGAAGAGCAGAAAAAAGTGGCACAAACCTCATTCGGTTGGTAATTTAATACACTATTCAAAATGTAAGCATATCACTTGAAGTCTATATTCATCTGCAATAAAGCCTATTCTTTGGAGCCAGGAGTATGAAATGCAGCCTTGTCATTAATGCTCCCTGCTGGACAGTTTTTAAAGAGTAGCACAGCTGCTGCCTTTTCTCCCTTGTAGATTAGACTCCTCACAGAGGGGGGGGGGAATTAATATGCAGTTAGTCCTGGTTTAGCAACCACAACTGGGACTAGCAACTCGATTGTTAAGCAAAGCGTTTGCTAAGTGAAAACTGAGACCATGCTTAGGAACTTACTTCAGCTTTCCTTTGCTTTACAACCTGTAAAAGTTGTAAAATTAGTTTTTTACGACTGTTGTAATTGAAAATAGTCACTAAATAAGAAAGCTGTTGAATGAGGACTCCTTGTAATTGAGAATGTTAAGATAATGAAGGTAATTAATCTGTCCTGCTGAGTTGTTCAAAGCTGTTCTTAAGTTCATTGACAGATCAAAGAAAATAGCCTTTTAGTGAGTCTCAGAACCTGAAAACCATAGAGGAGCACACAAAATCAATCAGTGGCCTCGGATGAAACTATTATGTGACAAGTTTTATTTTAGTTAAAATGTTGGTGACACCAGACACTGTGGTTTGTAATAAATCATTTATGGCTTACTGTGTTTCCCTGAAAATAAGACCCTGTCTTATATTTTTTTGAACCCTGAAATAAGCGCTTGGCTTTATTGCCATGTGCTCAAAAGCCCGATTGGGCTTATTATCAGGGGATGTCTTATTTTGGAGGAAGCAGGGTAGTAGGAATTAAGTATGGTGCTCTGATTGTAGTTTATTCAATAAATTGTGATTTAGCAAACCATGGTTTAGCGTGATACATAAACCCATATTTTATATGTTCCTGTCAAAAGATCAGGCATTGCAAACTCTTCTCTCTGCTTGTCTGTTCCAGATCATACATAAAAGTGAAATAAATTGTTCATTTGTAAAATGTGAGGACAAATTTAAATAATTTGGAACCCAGCTTCATGTGCATGGAAAGGTTTTCTGATCGTGACCTTACCGTTAAGGAGCCAGGTGATCTGAGGAACAGGTATCCCCTCAACTGAGCACCGAAGGGTAAAATCTTGCCCTTCACTCACGTGGCAGGATTTCAAGACTCGGAGAAAATGGGGAGGTACCTCCTTCACTTTAGGTCCTATAGATCAAAGCAAAAGGCAGTTAATGAAACTCAGTGCTAACAGATGGTCTCAGAATAAGATATTCCAGACCAGGCTAGAATATCTGGCTGAGAGCTTGGCTGTCTCAGGAATTCTGGGAGTTGAAGTCCACAGGTTGTAAAAGAGCCACATTTGCCCACCCCTGTTCTAGACCAATGACAAAGTTAATCCTTAAAGAGAAAAATGTGTTTTACTAATGTGGCAGTAGCTTAGTGAGCAAAATTAACCACGTTTAGTTGCTTCTAGTCAAGAACTTTGGAAATAATTCCTATGAACTGAATTGAATTCATTCTAAAAAATGAGAATGCAAATTGATATCTATAAATTATTTATCATTCATATTTCTAAATTCTCTTACTTCTTGGTGACTCTAGGCAGCACACAAATTTAACACCAGAGTAAGCAGAAAACAAAAAAGTACTGAAATAGTACAAAAAAAGTACTGTAAAACACCTCATATCCCACCCTAGCTCAAAGCTTAGGGAAGAGTCAGGTCTGAAAGGATGTAGCACTAGCATTATTTAGTGTGTTTTATACTACCGGTATGAAAGGGAGTATCTTTTTTTTCTTTTTCCAGTGAAGAAACTATTATCTACCAAGACAGTTCACCTAAGCATACTTTGCAACTAAAAGATGCTTACTTTTTACTGTTAATAGCCACCTGGTTGAAGCTTGTCCTGCAGGATTGAAAGCTTTGCAAGAGTAAAATCCACTGTCTTCCAGCTGAGTATTTTTCAGGCATAAACAATGGACTCCATCTTCTTCATATATCAGGATGCCGTCTCCCGTTTCCAGAAGGGCTCCTTCTTTGAACCATTCAACAGTTGCCTTGGGTTTCCCTGAAACTAGTTCATTACAGGTAGATTAAGCATGGGGCTCATGGTCTAAAGTTTACAATTTCACAACGTGTCTCAGTATCTTTCTTGGCTACCACCAATTTCTAGCTTTTCATTTTAATGAGTAACCCTAATTTTGACACTGCTAAAAAGTTACTCAACTTTTCAAGATTTGTGTTGTTCAGTTTTTACTGGCCAATGACTAAAATAAAATTGGCCTGTCTAGATTAAATTTTATAATCATAATTTACAGTCATAATCTTAGTTGCAAAACTATCATATGACATGTTGTTTGGAGAAAGTTGAATTTGAATTTTTTTCCAATGAATAATCAAGGCAGAATATTTTCTTGGCTCATCCAATTAATCTTAATCAGCAGACTTAAAAAAGATTTTATTTAGCTAGATCCACAGGATAGTACTGCACAGATACATTTTCCAAATTTTCCTTCAGATTTTTTAAAAAAATGAATGTAAATGAAAAAGCAATGTCACATTATTTTTCAGTTTTTAATTTTCAAAGTTAAAACAAACTGTTACATTAAATCAAAATCCACTAGACTGTGCTTGAATTTAATTAAGAGAGCTAATGATGTAAAAACATTGAACTCATTGTTCTAAATAGTTGAAACATCTTCCTATTGTGAATTTGCCATCTCTGTCTAGCCAACATGTGGTAGCAGGATATTTTTGAATGCTTTTCCATATTAAAGAAGTAGTACAACATAACAGTAATTTTAAACCAACTCTGCTAATTCTCCTAAATTCCTATACAAGAAGTCCTTCAGTTACAACTACAATTGAGCCCAAAATTTCTGTTGTTAAGTGAGACATTTGTTAAGGGAGTTTTGCCCCATTTTGCCACCTTTCTTGCCTCAGTTGTTAAGTGAATCACTGCAGCTGGTAAGTTAGTAATCTGGTTATTAAGTGAATTTGGCTTCTCTATTGACTTTGCTTGTCAGAAGGTCACAAAAGGTGATGACCCCGAGACACTGCAACCGTCATAAATATGAACCAGTTGCCAAGTGTCTGAATTTTGATCACATGATCATGATGCTGCTGCAAAGGATGTAACTGTGAAAAACCATCATAGGTCACTATTTTCACTGACATTGTAACTGAACAGTCACTAAATGAATTGTTGTAAGTGGAGGACTACCTGTATTCTCTTTAGAACATGAAAAGGCTGTAATGCACATGATTCTCCCTGTGAAGTATAAAGTAGTACAATCGGTGGGTTGCCCCTGGTTCGGACCGATTCGCAAAAACCGGTAGTAAAACCGGCAAGAGGCCCCGCCCACCACCCAGATGTCATCATCAGCAATCTGTGCGTGCACAGAAGCTTCTGCGCATGTGCAGAAGCAACGCGTGCGAGAGTGAAGCGATTGTGCACGTGCGATCTTGTTGCGAACTGGTGGTAAAGGTAAGTAAAACTCACCCCTGAGTACAATCCATTCTATTCTATTCCCTCATGCTTCTGCATACATAACCATGTGTTACTAATATATCTTTTGGCTTTCATTATCAAATTCTAAAGCTGAAAGCAGGAGTGTTACCTAGCCAGTTTGACCTGTGTGATCTGATTGCAACATTTTTTCAGCTCTTCCATCCGTTTCCTCCAGAGGGAGCAGTATGTTGGGCACGAGAGCTGAACTTGTACACCATTCTAGGCAGACTGATACTATGCCTCTTGCACTTCATCTACTTTTTGCAGAAGGCAAAGCCTCATGATGGGAGGTAGTAATGATGTACAATAGAAACTAATCACACTTACCTTATAATTACAGTATGTGCAGTTATTTGTCTATGCTTGAGGGAAACAAGAAGCCAACCCACATTGCCCATGTTACCTAAAAGCTCTGGCTGGAAACATCTCAACCCTTGTCAATGGGGGCGGGGGAACCCTTTGATATCCGTGATGAGCTGGCAATCCATTTTCTGTTTAAAAACATCCCAGAAAGGAATCATTCTTACCTCTGCATCTAAATGTAACCACTTCTCCTTCTAATGCTTCTTGGCTTTGAGGCCGACACTCAAATTGTGGAGGGATTCTCTGAATCTTTATTTCTGCTGCACTCTTCTTTAACCCAATATGATTTTCCAATTCTTCAGAGGTCAGATTATCTGGCTTGGTAGATAAAGCAGCCTGCCAATCCGCTGCCAGTAATTGCTTTGTTTTTTCTCCATTAACTTCCTGTTCAGAGGAAACTGCCTTCAATTCTGCCTTTGGTCCGGGCTGTATTTTCACAGAGCGAAGAGTTATAGTGCTTGATGTTTTCTGCAGAACCTGTTGGCCTTTCTTGTCTTCTTTAGGTGGCTCTCTGCTGGGTTCTTTCACTTGTTGCAACTGAGTCTCTCTGGATTCTTTGGGTGGAGCAAGGTGAATTTCTCTCTTCACCAACGGCCTTTCTTTGGATTCTAGCAAAAGCTCTGTAGTAGTTGATTTGAGGTCTTTAACTATCCCATTGCTAGTGGGTTTTCTGATCTCTGAGGTTTCAATAGCTTTGGTAATAATGGTGGATTTTGTAGAGGCACTGGGTTTTACTGATGTGCTAAAGGGAAAATATTTTTCTTAAGCCAAGAGAACAATTTGTAAAAGTACATTTATTTCTTAAAAACCACTTGCTTAATGTTTGAATGTTGATTTTAGGCAGATCATTTGATTTCTGTTCTGTGACGTTGTTTCACATCAAATGTGTATAATATTTTATGTAAAAGGAACAGAATTGCATTTTGACACGCTACTTCTGTATAAACAAAATGATCGAGGATGAGGCAAGCCACTCTTTATAAAACCAATGCATATATTATGAGGCAAACCAAGTAAAAATCCCACATTTATTTTTCAGTAACTTCAGTAAAAATAATTTCAATAAACAAGGCTTGAAACATTCAGTTCCATTGTTAAGTTTAATGGGCAAGGTATTTTAGGAATAGGAACAGAAAACTCTATGACAGCATACCATATTTTTTGTCTACTCAGCTAGGGATAGCCTTATAATATTTTTTTTTTTTACTTACCAGTGTTCCCTAAATTTCAGATATGATGGCAGAGGTATCACATCATCTTGTGCCATGTATTCTATGGCAGTCACTTTAAATTTTAAAATAAGTGTTGCTGGACCATCTTGGCGATGTAGCAACTGTCCAAGACCCCTTAGATAGCTGCTCATCAATATTTCATCAGCCAGTTGGCAGCTCTTGCAAATGTCTAGCCCTCTCAGAGGGGTCTATCACCATTTGCCACAGCCAAGTCAAGTGCCACAGCCAACTCACTGCAGGACAAGAGTTAAACTAATATCAAAGAAATGGCAGAATAGAATCATTCAAGAAAGGATGCAAAAGGAGGGGTAAAATGAAATATGAATGGCAAAAAGTAAAATATTTTTTATTTATTTTTTATTTATTTAAATAATTAAATAGAATTGGTAAATTGTCCCACAGCAAGTTGGCCATGGTGAGTTGGCTGCAGCGAGTTGGCTGTGGCAAGTTATCCCACTCAGCTCTCAGAGAGTCACTGTTAGCATTCTCTTCTGCTTCTCTGCAGTTAGGGAATAGGACCTCAGGTACTCCAAGCAAGTAATGTCTCGTACAATTCAGATCCATCATATTTAGACAAGGGCAAGGCAGCCAAACAGAGCACATTTTACTCAACTTCACCTATCCATTCTGGTTTCAAAGTTGGACTGTGCACACTTCAAAAATGACTAGGAGCAGGCATTATGAACTTTGCACCAAAGTGAGCATAGCACCTCTTATCTATTCATCAAGAATGTGTATTTAATAGACTTCTCTATAAGCTTGGAAAATGCTGGTGCTTTCAGAGTCAGGGTTTTTATTTTGTTTTTTTGGTGCTTTAATGTTGCAGCTTTTTTCAGGCTTCCAAGAAAGCTTTTGTGAAAAACAGAGAAGTGGTGTGTCTGTTTTAGGTCTGAAACACTACTTCTGAACCATGCCTATAGCTCTATTCCAAATCCATGGCCGAATGGTTCACAGTTGGGGTCAGCTCCCTCACTGCAAAGTTTAAAAGATTTTAAAAAGAACCAAAATCTCAGAAGTCAATTAAATCATAAAATCTCAGTTTTCTCAGTGGAGATCTTAACAGATTGGCTCGCTTCTATTTTTTGATTATTATTGCCTTTACATTTTTTTCTTAGGACTATGATATTGTGCAAAATCACACTTGAAAGAGATGTAATCTGTTACATGCCTTTTTTAGTACTACTAATTACATAGTCCCCATGCAAAAGTTGAAATGCTCTATTACAGGATCCCCTCTACAACATGACATGTTTGGCTATTAAAGATTCAGTAAATAATTTACTGTCATACAGCAGGTAAGCTGAAGGCTTAAACAATAATAAATAATAACATATAATTTGTTATCTGTGTTGTTTTTAAAAGGTAAAAATCAAGATAAAGGAAGAAGGAATGGAAAATACATACCAAAGAGGTTGAGAACATGCATCCCTTTTTAGAGAACCTGAAATGATAAAAGATTAAAAATAAAACCTAATATTTCAAGCTAAAGTACAAATTGCAGTTTGCTTTAAGATAAAACTATATTTCTTCATCCTTGGCCTCATGTTAATTTGTCCCTGAACATAGATATCTGCAGGGAGGGAGCAAACAGGTCAAATGACAGCACTTGTGTGACAAGATTGTCAAATGACAGCTTTAACACAAGTACAAAATAGCAGTATTTGTATATTGGCAAAATCATATATACACAATCATTTTGGTACCATTGCAATTTATAGCAGATGTAGTTTCCAGCAGTTTATCCAAAGGATAAACTTAAGAAATATGGAAGATAAAAGTATTTCTATTATATCTTCCTTCCCGCCCTCCCTCCCTCCCCCTCCTCATGAAATACTGAAAAAAAGAATATTGATTATTTTGAACTATGGATTATATTGCAATAGTGAATAACACCATGAAGTTCAGGTAGAACCTATCATTTGATCCTGAGTGAAATACAGACTGATGCCATTCTTGAGACCATGACTAGAAAGCAGAAGTTCATGTGATTTAGGCATTTGATGTGATCAAATCAAGGCTAGACAAAACAATTATACTTGACAGGTTTAGATGTACAGAAGAATGGGAAGATGATCAATAAGGCAGAGGAATGAGATCAGGGAACAGAATGAAATATCCTTGAAAAGTGTTACCATGATAAAAATGGCAGGAATTTCTTGGAAACAACACAATAGCCACTAATTAAATTGTTGGCATATAACTAACTAGAGAAGGAAATCAAGTGTCTCTGTAGGTATATGTTATTTTATTTGATGTGCTTTGGCCTTCTGCAATGCACTTTGCTTGGCTGCTGCCTTTCATCCTTAATCTCCTTGGCAAGGAACTACCATCTGATCAGATTTGAGAAGCTCAAACTCACATGAGATCATGATTCAAACCTTTTTTGATTACAAAATATTCTGATCTTTTTATTCCTATCACAGATTGGTCTACTCTTGCCTTTCAGCTTTTGCTTCCTTCTGATCGTATTTTAATAATCAACGTACCGTATTTTCCGGCGTATAAGACGACTTTTTAACCCAGGAAAATCATCTCAAAAGTCGGGGGTCGTCTTATACGCCGGGTACCCGAATCTGAGTTGCTGGCGCTGACCGTTGACACTTTGGGAGCGTCGGCAACATTGAGGGGAAGCTGTACTCCGAATTAGTTCCAACCTACAAGAGGTGCCAGGCAGTGCGGGGCCCACGAGAAAGGAACGCGTCCCCACTCTACCCCGGAATTCGGGTCACCTTCCTTCCTTTCCCAGCAGTCCACGGTGAAAGCGGCGCCGCGGTCGACCTGGGCCAGCGCCTTGCACACCTGGCGCTGCGTCTCCATTATGAGAAGCCCCATGCGACCTCGCATGTCTCCGCCCCAGTCGCGCAGCTCTCGCAATCCGCTCACCGGAGGAGCCATGAAGTGCCTCACCGCCTTGCCAGATCTTCCTCGTCCTCCTTTCCCCACAGCTTTTCTCGTTGTAATTGCTGCTGCTGCTACCGCCGAGGCTGCTCCTTCATCTCCGCCCACCGCACCAGACCCAGCCCGGCCAGCACTGCCGTGGCTCCCGCAGTCCAAGCGGATCGGCGCCTGGGCTCGCAGGCGAAGGGTGGGAGTGCGCAGCGATCGACGCCGATCACTGCCACCCACCATCGCCCCAACGGGAAGAACCGCCCAGCAGCGATTCCAAGGAGCCCGAAGCGAACATCCTGGAGCAGCGCAGGCCGGCCCGGAGGCTTAAACCCCGGGAGCCCAGGTGCCAAACCCCGCACAGCAGAAAAGACATGACAGCCGGTGCCCAGTTCCTTCTGCAGCCATCCGAATCAGCGCCCGGGCTCGCAGGCGAAGGGTGGGAGTGCGCAGCGCACTTTCCTGGCTTGGCGCCGATCCGGACGGCTGCAGAAGGAACTGGGCACCGGCTGTCATGTCTTTTCTGCTGTGCGGGGTTCGGCACCTGGGCTTTAAGCCTCTGGGCCAGCCCGTGCTGCTCCAGGATGTTCGCTTCGGGCTCCTTGGAATCGCTACCGGGCGGTTCTTCCCGTTGGGGCGATGGTGAGTGGACTGCAGGAGCCACGGCGGACTCCTTCCCCACGAGGTATTGCTCTGCATTTCACCACCTCTTCATAGATCCATATGATGACTGCCTTACAAATGTATCACAAGATGTCCTTGATGTACTTATGATATCAGATGACGAACAGGAGGATTTTGAAGGCTTTTAAAGGGAAACTGTCACGCCAGCAAAACCTGTAAAAATAGCTTGCAGTTATGATGGGCGTTACTGACTCGCCAGGGACTTGCCCGGCACTGGCTCTCTATTGTTTGTTATCTTCCTCCTATCATCATCAGTTCCAGTTTGGTTGACAGCTTAGAAAACAAACAGCATGGCAGCTCCCATGGGTTTATTGTCTTATCCTTCCTTTCAGCTTTAGAGTGAATTAGGAAAAGTTTAATCCAATTGCACTGTTTTATGTTGACATGTTTGATGACAAACAGCCTTATGTTTATAAGTGACAGTTTTCCTGCTAAGTACCTGCGTGTCATAAGCATTTGAATTAAAATTACCATATTGAAATCAAATCTGATGTTTTTTAATTTTTATTTGGTGTGCGTTGGAAGAGGGGTAGTCTTATACGGCGAGTATAGCCCAAACCCTATATTTTAACAGGAAAAGTAGGGGGTCGTCTTATACGCCCAGTCGTCTTATACGCCGGAAAATACGGTACAATTAGTTTACAGTCTGTAAAAGAAAAAATATTAGAAGGGAGTGGGATTTGCTCTCATTTTATATACTAATGATGTTGATCTTGGTAATTCCTTAATTAGGCTGCTGTTTATTGTTAGCTTGTTGTCTGATTATGTAGCACCAGATTCAGGAATTATGAAGTTAATAGGATGACATTGGGCTATTGTTTACATGATCAGGGTGAGGATTAATGAGAAAACCATACTCTCTTATGAATCATAACTCCTTTAAGTATGAGCTAGTTTACAGAAGGAGAAGCAATAAAAGAATGACATCATCATAATCATTCTCACCACCACCACCGATTTCACTCACAAGTTGTTTTCAATTTTTTAAATGTGACTAGGAGGAAGAGAAAGGAGCCTGGATTTTACTATAATGTGTTTCTAATAAAATAAAATGCAACTTCAAAAAAAATTAAACCTGACCTGTATGTTTGGACCATAATTTAGGAGTCACTCTGAAAAAACAGGAGAACGGAAAGTTTTGAAGAATAAAAGAAGAACTGGCCCAACTCTTGGAAATTTAGTTGCCATGTTTGCATTTTTTTCCTTTTAGTCTGTTTTGACCATACCTTGAACCATGAGTTCTGCAGTCACAGAAGCTTTCCCAGCATTATTCATCAAGGTACAAGTGTAAATTCCAGCATCAGCCAGCTGAATATTTTGGATTTCCAAAAACTGGATGCCTGCTTTCTCAAACATGTTAAAACGATCATTTTTCTGCACTTGAATTTCATCCTACATGCATGAAGAAATAAAATAACACATCTAGATGTAGTCATGAAAAGAGAAAAAATATCATTTAATTTCATGCTTTATTATTTTCTTTATTTCACAATGCAGTGCTTTCCTTGGCATGTTCATATAATGTTAAAATACTCCTCAAAAATAAGTTGCTCCACTGTATACCAGAAACAAAGTAATACTCAAAATATGAGCATTATAGAGCTAGTTTCTTTAAGCCAGGATCTTCTATTTTTGAATAAAGAGCTGTCTGAGTTGTCTGAGCATGACATCCTTGAAGGTAACTTTTAGCTGTATAGTTGTCTTAGCTTTTTCTGTTGGGCTTCTCAACATTAAAGCAGGCAGTGAAAAAAATATTTGATAAAGTGGGACAAAACTGTAGTTCTAATATACAGATGGAACAATGGAAATATGTGGTTGAAAGGACTGAAATTTACATTACATTATAATGTTAAATATAATTTTTGGTACCACTGGTGTATGTCAACACAGAATATTTAGAATATTTAAAGGCAATTCAAATATATGTTGGAAATGTGAGAAAGAAGGGGGGACATTTTACCATATTTGGTGGACACATAAAAAAGCTAGAAAATTTAATACACTTGTTCACAGGATTACATACAACTGTATGTAAAAATCTAGAAAATACATACACTGGTTCAGAAGATTTTAAAGATTAATATATATTGGAAACCAGAGATTTTTCTTGTGGGATTGATGGAAAAACAGTTGAAAAAAGCCACAGAACTTTGTTTTTATACATGATAACTGCAGTGAGATTATTGTACGCACAAAGGTGGGTAGATTCAGCACTACCCACAACAGGGAATGGTTAAAGATAATGGAATTTGCAGAGATGGCTAAATTGACTTTGAAAAGATAAACTACAGTATCTATATTTATTGCTAACTGAAAACTCCTTATGGATTTTTTGCATGAAACAAAATAAAATGAATTTATGATTTATAGTTTTGATGATAGGACAGAATATAGAAAGAAGAGAACTATTAACCATAGAGTAAGAAGTAAATTTATAATTGTACTTAAAACTCTTGTAAAGAAGATCAGAAATTACTTTTACTTTCTTGATTTGTTTCTTGTTCTCTTCTTGTTCTCACTTTATATCAGTTTGTATTAGTTTATATCCTTTTTAAAAAAATATTTAATAAAATTGTGTATGTTACACACACAGAGACACACAAACTAAAGCAGGCCAGGATTAGAGGGCAATTAGAGTGGCCGTGATCTATAAAAATTCCATCTAGCTGACAAGATGTTCCATTCTATACTCTGCCAATTTGGAGTGCATAGTGCTATGTTTAGATGAGTGGGATATGTATGGCTACTGTTAGCTACTATGCATCCTGCTACCTTTTCCTCTTCCTGAGTTAAATGGGTTACTCAGGGGCATCACACTGGACCAACCTATTTCCTTGATCTCGGGCAGTGATAGCGAACCTTTTCGGCTTTGAGTGCTGAAAAGGAAGCACACACACGTCTGGGCCACAACTTGGAAGAGGAGCTGCCCAGGGCGCATGCAAGCACCTGAAAATGAACTTCCGGTTTCAGCTACTGAACTTCCGGTTTCAGCCAGTTACTCTTCCAGGTTTCTGGCATGCATGCGCATGCAATGATCAGCTGGCTGGCGCACATGCTCATGTGGGAAAATGGAAGACCAGCTCTTCTAGTTTCTGGCACTGCCACATGCAAAAAGGCTACCTGATTGATACACGTGCATGCACGCCAAAACCCAGAAGAGGAACGGGCAACGCCGCGAGTGCCAGGCGACAATGCTCCGCATGCCATAGGTTCGCCATCACGGAACTAGGGGATATCAATGACCATTCTGATGTAATTAACCATCTCCAACTAGGTTCTTTTAAACATTTTGTGATGACCACAGACCTATCTTAACATGTTTCTGCCCTGTGACTGCAGCACGACACATGTTGCATTTCACTTTCTGCTCAGGTGGAACTGGCGATTTTAAGATGGAAGAGCCTTGCACAACTTCATTATCATGGACAAATCATATACTCAAGAGTTTTATCCAGAGTTTTATCCATAAACTCTTCAGGGGTAAAGGTCCCATACTTGAACCCAGTGTACGTTTGGGGGCACACTGTCATAATTTTTAACTGTTTTTAATAGGGTTGCTGATTTTAATTTTATTTCATTGTGATTTGTATTGGAATTTGTCATTTTGTAAGCCGCCTTGAGTCCCCAAGGAGAAAGGCGGCATATAAATCGCAATAATAAATAATAAATAAATACCCAACAGATTTGAATGATTTCCTGATTATGCTTCTGTATCATTATTCGCAATGCTGTTGATGGAAATGGACTGGTAGTTGACCCTACCCTATTGTTCCTAAGCATCCCCTTCCTTCTTACAGAGCCACATGGCATAATAGAGAATAAACAATGATGAAGTGGATAAGACATCAGTTATAGCAAAGCACAGAAATTCTCAGGTGTAGTCAGATTAAGTGAGCAAAGCCCAGCTGAATAGTTCAATTGCAGTGGAGACAGAAATAATACTTACTTCTTTAACTCCAAAGCATTTATACTGAACTAGCCAACACTGCTTTTCCTAACTGTATGACATTTCTTCTACCAAGGGAAAGCTCTGGGATAATTGATACTGTGTTCAATCTACAGTATTCTTTGTGGTCAGGGTAATTAAATCTATCTACAATGTGACATTGGGGCAAATCAGAGAGGGGAAACTTTGGTATGTGCTTCTCCCTCTCTCTCTGTCTCCCTCTCTCTCTCTTCCTCCCTCCCTCCCCCCCTTTTTTTGGCTTGTAGATCCCAGGAGTGTGGACAGGCTATGTGGAGAGACCAGAGCTACCATCTGCTTAAGTAAACCAATGCAGGATTGGCTTTGTTAAGGAAAGTTGATCAATGCTTCTTCGTGGGAAGGATGTGTTCCCCTTTGCTTAAAGCTTGCAATAAATGGTTTACTCCTCATTTAAATTAGTGGATCTATAGGACCATTTCAAATGCTTAATTACTGGGAAAGGTAATCAAGGAAGTGGTGACTTCACAGGTCCATATACATTGGAATTACACTCATTTTCCAAATGCATTTCAACAATATTTTGACCCGGTCCTCATTGTATTGATTCAAAACTATGACACACATTGTCAAGGGACTTGCATTTGACTCCCAACTCTCTCAGCATTTAGAAAATCTATAGAGACAGATTTCTTTTACCAGTATTTTCACTTGTAAGTGATTCTGATAACTATTCTTAATTTTAATAAGTTTAATTTTAGCTTCATGTTGCATAGTGACAAGAAATTATCTGATCATTTTATACCATCAGAAGTCAGAAGTATTACAGACCACTAAAATTAGAACACTTTGAGATGGCAACATTGACTTGTTGGATTAGGAAAAAAGACATTCTTAATAATTGGAAACCCTTTTTGTACTTTTTGCTGAAAATGGAAAAAATGAACATGTATTTTATGGTTTGATGCTTAAAAAGCATAGAATATGGAAAGAAGGGAGCCATGATGGAACCTTAGAGAGAAAGAGGATAAAATATAAATGCATTTAAAATTTCAATAAAGATCAGAAGCTACTTCTTTATATCTTTCCCTTTCCCTTTTATTTCTTGTTTATTTACTTATGAATTTTCTGTTACTTTATTTTTTCTTTACATTATTATTTTTACTTTGCAAAAAACCTAAGTAAAAATTAGAAATTGAATAAAGTTAGAACACTTTATATGAAAGTCTGTCTTTCAATGTTAATAAAAGGATACATTCTGATATGCCAAATCACAATTTTACTAGTGATGCAAATGGGGACTAAAGGATCTATTTTTTTTCCTAAATATAATACCAGACTAGGAAAAGGAAAAATGAGCCAGGATAGAAGATCGTCTCAATAGATAAGTATAATCAACTCTTCAGAAAATCTGAATAGCTGTGAAATCAACTATACCTTGAACCAAATGACCCGAGGCTGAGGTCGCCCTGTTATTTTACAGGAAAATTTACCATTCTGTCCTTCTCGTACAATAACCCGGTTGGGTTTTGTAGCAAACTTGGGTGGACATTCGCCCCAGATGCTGGGCCGTTGTTCTATAGGTAGAACAGTAGACTGACCCCTGGAATGAAGTAATCAAATATTATTACTGAATCATGCTTCTCAATGAATTTCAGAATATTGTAGGCAATATGTAGCAAGGTGCCACTCTGGAAGTGAATTCTACATATTTTTCCTGGAGTACAACATGTATTTGCAAGTATTAGAAAATAAGCGCTTGCTTTTTTTCCAGCATTATGAGGAGGCACACATGCCCACACTTGAACAAATGATAAATTTAGATTTGGTACAGCAAGAATATACTTAGTCTCCATGAAAACTCTAAATAATTAAAAAGAAAGAAAAGGAAATGTGTGCATGCATGTCAGTGCGTCTGTTGTGGTTCGCCAGCAGCCTGCAGAGCTGACAGCGGAGTCGGACAGTGAGGAGGCTGGGGAGGAACATGGGCCAGTCCTGGAGTCTGGGAAAGGCCCGGACGAGGGCTCTGGGCCAGAGGCAGAGATGGGGCCTGGGCTATCTGGGAGTGATGCACGGACTCTGGAGCCTCCAGAGTCGGACAGCAGAGAGGCAGAAGAACAGGAGGAGCCTGTTCCTAGTGCACGCATGTGCAGAGCTGCCAGAAGGCACGAACAGTTAAAACAAAAGGGAAGACTCCGGAGTAAGGCCTGGAGATGATTGGCCCCTCCCATAAGGCTTAAAAGAGAAGCAAAGGCATGAGGGCACTTTGCAGGAAAGCAACGTTGTTAATTCTGTTCCCAGTCAGCATCTCTGTTTGATTCTGGAATCTGTGTGGCTTTGCCAAGTAGGTCTTTGGCAGAGTGTCAAAGGAGCTAAAGGTTGGTAATTATCCCAAAGGACTTCTCCCGAAGGACTTTTTGCAACTAATTGGGACTCAGCTGTGAATGAACATAATTCACAGCTGTTGCAATAAAAGAGGTTTTTGGGACTACTCAAGTGTTTTAATAACTCAGGAAGCCTAGGTCACAACAGCATCCATCATGGAAGTGTAAGTTCAATAGCTGTACAAGAATGATCATTACAATGCAATTCTCCTGAATTTAAATAACATTTTACCTCCTGATTTTATCCAATATGCACAGAAATGCAAAAAACAAACAAACAAACAAACAAACAAAAACCATGGTATTTGACAGATTTAACTGCAATGAACCAAATAAACTTTCTTCTTGGTCATTTTTTCCTGAATTCTTGCCCATTCTGTTACCATCATGCGAGTCCAACTCAACTGTGTGAACCTTTGGAAGATATTGTACAAGCATAAATCAGGTAACTTTCTCATCGCTACCATTAGATTAAGTGAAAAATATCAAGAGTTATCCCCCACCCCCACCCCCAGGATAAAATGTAGGAAACATTTCCATTGGAAGGGCTTGGAAAAAATACTTCACCTAGAAGCCTCTTTCTACTTGCAAAAGTACTAATAGAAAGAAGTCATTGTGACCAAAAGGGAAAGAAAAACAGCTCCTCTATTGATGATTCCCCACACTTGGCTTTGACTCTCATAGAATATTCTCCCCACAGGTAAATAAATTCGTATGATTCTGTAAAGCTGACTCTAATACAGGGGTGTCAAACTCAAGGCCTGTGGGCTGGATCCGGGACACGACGGACCAGTAGTATGTTGCAAAACCTGTCGCAACCGGTTTGCTTGTGCACACATGTTCTTGATGCTTCTGCATATGTGCAGAAGCTTCTGCGCATACGCAGAAGCATCTGGTGCAGGTGGGCAGAGCTTCCCACCGCTGCCACTACCGACTCGCCGATCCAGGTAGGACCAGTAGCAACCCACCACTGGGACGGACACCTCCTGCAGCACCCTGCCAGCAAAGTGTTGCAGGAGGCCGTCCAGGCCAAAAACGGGGCATGGCGGGTCTCGCACAGCCCAACAGTCTTCAGAGAGGGGCGGCATATAAATTGAATTAATTAAATTAAATTAAATTAATCAGGGTGCTGCAGGAGGGGTCTGTCCTATCTCTTTCCCCACCCACCCACCTGCACAGAACTACAATGCTGATCCAGCCCTCGAAGAAATCCAGTTTGATACCCCTGCTCCAATACATCTGTTTTTGGAAGAATTGGGATTATTTACTGCAGTTGATTTCTGGCAATTCATCTAGAAACACTAATTATGCAGTTTAAACAAAGGCCTGAAAATAACACAACTCTGTAGAAAAATCAGAATCTATTTTGCAAAACTGTAAGACAATCACTCATTTTAAATAAATATTAAACAGGTTATACTTTCTGATACTCAGGTTCTACCACCTTTGACTGATGATGAAAGGGTTAAATAAGGGTGTTGTAGGGGAGAGACTACAACACCCTATGTTTTAGGTACATGCTGTAACCCTATGACTATTTGGCTTGGTTAATTTTGGGAATGATTCCTGGCATATTTGCAAAGGTGGGGGGGAACCCTCTTGTTCATGGTGTTCCAGTCAACTAGTACATTTACTACCTTATGAGCATTCCTTTTAAATTTTAAGAACTAAAAGTTATTTAAAAAGTAATACCAAGAAGCTTGTAAGAATCTTGTGATTTGAGAATGAGCAGCTGAGGAACAACATTTGTTTTTATACTTTTTCCATTTTTAAAAATGATTATTAACATACTGCCATAAATATTTCAGAACATGGTCTTTCTAAAGAAGATCAAAAAGTGGTCTTTGCTATGTATGATGAATTAAATTAATTATATATTTTTGCAATGTTAACCAAGCTCTGCTTATATTTGAGAAATTCAAAAGTCAAATAACAAATACCAGTTCAGTGAGTTCATCATTTAAAACTCTGATAAAAAGCCATGAAATAAGGAACAGTAATAGAACATTCAATATACATTAAGCAATACCTACTGGTATTTAGTCTTGTTTGTACTAGTTCTTCACCAGTTCTGGTGGACTTTGATTTTTATAAATTCCTAAGCCAAAATCCTGTTCACTAAATTTTAAACAATGTCAAGCACAGAAGGTTAGGATTAGGGTTACAGGAAGTCTGGTTCACTTTAATGGCAAATATCACCATCACACATAGTAGAGAATAATCAACAGTGATGAAAATGAAGCTGTGAGTTTCAAGCAAATTTAAACTCATGGTTATGTGCTCTGCACAAAATGCTTACACATATGCAAACACATTTGCTCATCATCTGCAATATATTGTAATATTAAAAGAAACTGAGATTTCAGCCCAAAAAGGAAACACTATATTGTAAACAGTGTAATAATATAGGGAAACTTATTATTGTAAATAATAGTTAGGTGATAATCAGTGGTGAAATCTAAAATTTGTTACTACCAGTTCTGTGGGCATGGCTTGGTGGTTGGTGGTGGTGGTAATGTGACTGGGTGGGCGTGGCCAATTTTTTTTTTTTTACTTTTATAACCATTTTTTCTACAACCTCTTCAGTGAAGAGGTTGTAGAAAAAATGCTTTTAAAAGCCTTTGACGATCCCAGCTGAGCCGCACAATCATCAGAGGCTTTTTTTTAACTTTTAAAAGCATTTTTTCGGCTGAAGAGGTTGTAGAAAAAATGCTTTTTAAAAAAAAAAAAAGCCTCTGATGATTGCATGGCTCAGCTGGGCATGGGGGAGGGTGGCAGGGATTTTTGCTACCGGTTCTCTGAACCACCCGCCGCCATCGCTACCGGATCGAGTGATCCGGTCTGAACAGGGAGCATTTCACCCCTGGTGATAATCAATTAGTTAAATATACTAAAGTGCAAAGGAGTTATAAAAGTTGGACCACCAATGACTTCTCTCTATTTCTTGCTTTAAAAAAACACTTAGCAGGTAAATATTATAATCTGTACTTCCTAGTGAAATAATAAAGAGTTAAGCTTCATATTAGAAAATACATGAAATTATTCTTCATGGGGGAAAATAGCAATTCAGCTTCCTAAATATGAATCAGGATCAGACAGTAGTAACGTGAAATGTGAGGTGTAACAACAGTGAATAATAACCCCCAAAAAGCAAAAGCAAGTTTCTAGACCAGAGCTGGCCAGACTAGAGCTGTCTAGATTAGATCTAATAGCAAATTTAAAAAGAAATAAATTGGTGGAACACATTACTTATAAATTTGGTTCGAAGTTTTGTCAGCTGAACAAAACAAGCACAAAAGAGGCCAAATGGCTTATAATTCTTAACAATACTGAATACTATAAAAAGTAAGGAAGATTAACTTGACAGAAATGCACAAGAACCATTACCTAGGAAAATGGAGCTGAATTTTTTTTTAAGTCCAGAGAAACAAGATAATTTGGAAATGGCTCAGGCAGAAGTCCTCCCTTATTCACAAGAGTATAAGGAGGAGAAGAAATACAACACAACCAGATTTGCAACAGTGATATGAACTCCATTAGATAGGCTAGACCGGAAAATATATTGACATTGTCATAAATATATGGTTCCATGAAATGTTTTGAATGCAGCAGAATTATTATGACCAAAGCCTAATAGAAAATCTTGCCTTTTTTAGATATTTCAAAAGCTCTGCATGTTAAAGAATAGATATCTGCTCTTAAGTATATAAATAAATGCCACCCAAACACTTACCCAGAACTTTTGGAACTGGAAGGCAAGTTATATTTCTTCAAAACTTTTCCTAAAAGAAAATAGAAAAATGGTCAGACATAAAAAATACTTTATCAGGACCACAAATCATTGGGACCCATAAATTATTGAATTTATGGATTTTTCTATCTCTATACTGTATATTAAAACAACATATTTGTCCATTATTTTTTTTAAAAAAAATTTGCTTCTCCATCTGCCCATTCTCCACCTGAAAAACACATCTAATCAAGCTTTGCTTACTTGTACCTTACAACAGAGGTAAAGTAATTGCTGGGCACAAACAACTATTTGCTGTAGAGTGCTTTGAGAAGCAGCCCAAGCTTCAGTCCTATACACCCAAATAAGAAATTTCTACTGAAAATGTTGTTTTGTCTCATTTGTCCATACATACAAATGGAACTGCTTAATTGTTTTTGCTATTTCAAAAACTGCTCAAAATCTTTCAGTAAGAAGTTTTTATTTAATTCCAACTGACTAACCTGAAGCCATATTTAGTTCACCTGCCTGCATCTATTACCTTAACATATCTAAGGTATTTCTATAACACATGTCACAACCAAAACGTTTGTCAGGATGGAAGATATTATGTTGTGAGTCTGCAGCACCATCTACTGGATGTGAGCAAGTGAACTTTATGAACTTTAATGAAATACAATTGGTTTCTGTAAAATATGGGAGACAACATAAAATATTGAAAAACATTAATACAATTTAAAGCATTTTTTTGTAAATAATCACCTATGCTTATCTCAACAGAAATCATAGTGGTTAAGTCTGACTTTTGAACCAAAATGTCCTCAGATCAAATCATATTATGGGTTTCTTCTACCACAGGGGACCCTAACCCCCAGGGCCTTGGACCGGCCCCCGGCCGGGCAAACAAGTGAAGCCCCATCCATGGGATGCAGACAGCATGTGAAATCATGCCCCCACCCCCCGGTCTGCAGAAAAACCTCTCTCCACAGAACCAGCTCCTGGTGCCCAAAAGGTTGGGGTTCGCTGTTCTAAAGATGCTTAGGCAAGCGGTAGGAGGATAACAGTGTCCTATCCTTAAAAGTAATTGTTATAAATGCCTTCGGTTAACCTTTGCTTTGAAACACCATAGTAGTTTTCCCACTTGGTATTCTGCAGATGAGAATTCTGTATAAGAATAGCCCTGCTGGATCAGGTTAAGGCAGACTTTAGGCACACCTCAACTCAGCATTTTGTTCCCAGTCAAATGCCTCTGATGCTCACAAGCAGGAGGCACTGAAACTTCTTTGGACAACTGGTATCCTGTTTCCCCCAAAATAAGACATCCCCTGATAATAAGTCCAATCGGGCTTTTGCGTGGATGGCAATAAGGCCAAGCGCTTATTTCAGGATTAAAAAGAAATATAAGACAGGGTCTTATTTGGGGGGAAACACGGTATTTGGAGGCATACTTCTTCAAATCTTGAAGGGAAGATTGAATATTTAGGATAGATGGTATTCAGTTGACTTGTCCTTCATGAATTAATTCAGTTTCCTTTTAAAGCCTTCAAGCTCTCAAAGGCAATTAGGTTCAAAAGTGTTATCTCTAGATTAGGATGGGGTAACCTATAGCTCTCCAGATATTGAAACTCTACAGGTCCCAATAGCCCAAATCACCACAGCCAATCGTGAAGAGACGTAGTTTTCTGAAATCACAGCTTTATTGTTCCTGATTTATCCTCAGAGCGTTTCATGGCTGAAGGCCTGGTGCCTCAAACTCTCTGCAGCAAGTACACATTTCAACTTGTGCGTTTTGAATTGCTGCGTTCCACTGAATTAGCCAAGGCATAAAAAAAAAAAAAAATGGTAGCCAACTGGCATTCCGTCCTCAATTTTCCACATTTGCTTTTGCAATCAGGAAAAAATGAAGAAAATTGGGATGGGGCAAGTCATTGCAGAGAAAAAAAAGAGCTTCCAGAATGGAAACTGTGCTAGATAGCTAACATTCTTACCTTCCACTGTCAATTCCACAGTCACCTGGCGAATCCCACCAGCATTTCTGGCCTGACATGTATACAGACCACCATCTTCCTCCTTCACCCCTTTAATCATCAAGCTGAAAATCCCTCGGATGCTGCAATCTGCTACACAGTGCTCTCCTGTGACAAGGTGCTCATTTCTGTACCATGTGATCTGAGGTTCAGGGTTGCCTCTCACCTAAAACAGTTCCATATAGAAATAACCAGAGGGAAGAAACGGAGGTTGAGGAAGGGGAAAAAAAAACAGAAAATGATTTTACCTGGAACAAATGCAGAACACTTTGCAAGCCAGTGGAAGAAAGTATTTTCTGAAGTAATGTCTGTTAAACACATACAAATCACCAAGAGCCAAAAGGCAAAAATCCGAACAGAAAGAAGAGAATTTACGGATGCATCATGCTGTTAAAACTAGCAATGTTGATCCAAGAACTTCTTCTGCCTGTTGAGGTTTAAAAGCCAAAATTGAGAAATTTTGAGAAATAGTTTCAGATGATAAATCTATGGCCCCATTTTTCAGTCTGGTATGGCAGACATATAAGAGCGTGAATTAAAACAACCATATGTAGGTTGAAAAATCACAGGATATAATTTCCTTTATCAGATGAATTATCCTTGAAAAGTATTCAAAAACACCATTGTTCAGGCAATTCCATATAAACCAGCTGCAAAATAAAAAGCAAGGAACAGTCGGTGTACAAAGTCTGGTCAACAACATTTTTCACAGATGAAAATCAGATTTCCCAGATAAATTTTGTAAATGTAACTATTCTTTTCCCTTTTGGATAGTAGCGAATAGCGCGGAAGGCAAAAACATAGTGATTATCATCTCTGGATTATTTTAGGCATTCTCATTTATCTGGGTTTGAGGAAAAATTATATTTGAATCTGATTTTCAAACATTCATTCAAAGGATATATGTATTTTCAATAAGGTAAACGGGGAAATAATTTATTTGATATACTGTGCATATCAAAGTTAAAATATGATGAAAGGTATATTGAGAGATACTCATATTTATATAATTTTAATATATAGGGGTACAGTTTTTATATTTGATCAATGGAGATTAAAATTAAGGGAAGATCTGCTTACATTTGAAGATGTTTTGGCTTCTGCATTATGTTTTTCATTTTTTAAATTGCCAGAATGCCTTAATAACGTGGAACTCCGCACAAAGCTATCCAATCACCAAACAACAATATATGTGTTAAATGAGAGATTGAAAGAAGCACTAAATATATGTTTCCTGTTATACTGAACTCAGCAGCAAGTTAAACAGCTCAAAAATAATTCTTACTATCTTTATTCTCTTATTAAATTACTTTATTAGCTTCAAACCCGATGCCAATGCACAAATATTATGTTTGCACCTATATTTGTGTTCATTTACTAGTCAATTGACTGTATCAAAATACAAAACAATATCAAAAAGTAAAATGCAAAGATATTAAATGAAGTGCCTTCAAATGCAATAATCATCTTTGCATTCTCCTCAAATTCTTTAATAAAATGAGTTCTCATCTTTAACTATAAATTTGGCAGACCTACGAGTAACACAAAAGTTTACACACTGGAAGAAATAATCTACTGTCAGTATCCCAATAAGCTATTCTGTCAACCAGTAACTTCACTATTACTGAAGCACATAATTTCCAGTGAAGGAGAACATGTATGCAATATTTTTTGTCTGATACTCCAGTTATTAATTATTAAGTATATATAGCTGCCCATCTCATTTGCATGTGACTATGGGTGGTATGCACAGTTAACACACATATACAATTTCTTTATTACTATGGTACTTTCACCATAGAATCAAACAACTCAAATCTCACTCTGGTAAAAACTGTTCTTTGGTACATGGGTTTTGTTTTTTTTCTGTTTGAAATTTCTTCTTATTCTTTGCCAAGTATTTTAAGGGACTAATATCTGCAAATGACTTAATACTGATTTGGGCATTACAGGCAGAATCCTATGTTTAAACATTTTCTTGTCCAGATATTTAACTGAAGTTAGGTATTAAACAGATAAACCATACTGCAAAATAACTTTGATAAGTAGTTTTACCCAAGAGGTGCTATGTCTCATACTAATTTGTTTCTTTCAGATAACATTTTGGTATTCTGTTCAGGATCCATTAAAATAACCCTCCAAAAATAACTAGAAGTTTGATCATAGATTCTAAGACAAACCATCAGCTACCCAAAACTGCCAATTGATCAATTCCAAAACTGCAGGTGTTCACATAAACTTAAAATTAATTATTATATAATTATATAATTATTATATAATTATAATTAATTAATTATAAAATTAATCTTTGGTCTGTGGAAACATCTGTCATTAATAATATATTCAATAATGGTTGGGTGATGAATTTATTAACTTATCTAATACTATGCAACATAGAGCTTTAACTCTTACATAGTTTTATTTAAGTACTACACATTCAGAGAGAATTTTAATTGTATGGTATATAGTATGTTCAAGTTGAATTAAGTCCATGCCACTTGATTAATCATGGCTTCAAATGGGGAAATTCTACTGATATTGAAAAAGAGGCCTTTCTATATAAACATATGCAAGTCAAGCACCGGGACTTACTGAATTATCTTTCCTCAACTTCGATCATGCTGTGCAAATGATCATGCTCTCTTCGCATATAATCGCATCCAAGAGAAATACAATAGCTATGAATATATTTAAGATTGTACTCTAAGGACACATTCGCACACAGAAAAGCATACTCAAGAAGCAACAGCTTTCAAACATACTTACATTCTATCTGGTAAATGACAGCATTCAGGTCTTCTGTTTATAATCTGATCAGATCAGAGGTGGGTTTCAGCAGGTTCTGACCAGTTCTGGAGAACTGGTAGCGAAAATTTTGAGTAGTTCGGAAAACCGGTAGTACAAATTATTATTATTTTTTAAAAATTTGATTTATATGCCGTCCTTCTCCGGAGACTCAGGGTATTATGTGTTAAGCATAATGTGTTAATGTGTTAAGCAATAGCCTTCATACTCTTGTATATTTATACAAAGTCATTTTATTGCCCCCATAATCTGGGTCCTCATTTTACCTACCTTAGAAAGGATGGAAGGCTGAGTCAACCTTGAGCCTGGTGAGATTTGAATTTGCAGTAATTGCAGGCAGCAGATGTAAGTGGATGTTAATTAGTCTGCTGAGCCACCAGAGCTCTGACTGACTGGCCCCACCCCCATCTATTCTCTGCATCCCAAGTCCCAGCTGAACAGGAGGAAATGGGGATTTTGCAGTAACCTTCCCCTGGATTGGGGAGGGAATGGAGATTTTACAGTATCCTTACCCTGGAGTGGGGTGGGAATGGAGATTTTACAGTATCCTTCCCCGGCCGCGCCCATCAAGCCACGCCCACCAAGCCATGCCACGCTCACCAAGCCACACCCATAGAACCGGTAGTAAAAAATTTTGAAACCCACCACTGGATCAGATGAAGAAAAAATCCAGATACAGTCTAAATCCACAACTAAGACTAAAATTTTAATCTAATTCTGAGAGCAGCAGAAGATTTTTCAGGATCTATCTAAAATACATAGACCATGAATTTCTGAAAGAAATTGAGTGCTATGACTCATAAGCATATAGTTAAGAGTAGCAGGGTGTTGTTAGGCAGAAAGTCAGCCATATAAAGCCAAATCAATGTTGTTTTTCAAACACTACAAGCCTTTTAAATATCACTCTCAAAGAATAAAATTGTCCTACCAAAAAAAATACTGTGGTACATTCAAAGTTAATTCCTCATTCTCCTGGATAATGAATAGCCCTAAAAAAATTCTTGTTCAACTTGGTGCTCTTGAGAAGATGTAATTTTAGCAGGTCTAGGAACTAGTAGGGCAGGTTAGTAGATTGTGATTTTCAATTCTTAGGATTTCTGCCTCAAGAATTCAAAAAATTATCCATTTAGGGTTATCAACATTCTAAGTAGAGCCAATATTTTAAATTTTTAAGTTTAATTGCATATATTATTACAAACTTATTGTTCTTAAATTTAACTGTGGAATTCACCTGGCCGCTACCAGGAGAGAAATTAGACACTTTTCTCTGAGATAGGAATGGAATTCAATAAAATATTCTAATCATGAAGTAAAATGTACATTGTTTAACTATAAATTCCAGATTTTAATCAAATTTCAGGAAGAACAACAAGTTATATAAAATGACACACCATAGCTTCCGCATGTTTGCCAAGAACAGAAAATGCTGACAAGTCATAAAGAGATTGCCACCAATGTTTCGTCTAGAATCCCAGATGGCTTATTAAGTAATAACAAAAAAATGAAATCAAATTCATTCTAAACTACTCATGCATTTCAAATAACCAAATGCAATTTTCAACTACAACACAAAGAAATCACATTTTGAAATTCCACATCTGGTGATGTTTAGGTTCTTATCCCATATGCAAACAGTACTAATAAGTAAGTTATTTTGGAATGATCCAAATAATCTATTATGCAAAGACAATATGCTTCATATTTAGACACACACACTCCGCGGTGATCCAAAATAGCAAAAAAAAAGCCACACAAAAAATGCTTTCCAATTCTCAGTTGACTCTAACAATTTAACTAGAAACCTTATCTGATACTTAGTTACTTGTAGGCCTTTTCAAAACAAAGCAGTATATAAGTCCAATCAATCAATAAACAAATTTTACTGGATCAAATACTTGTATCCTTACCAACATTACAATGTAGTGCCTAAGGTGCTGGAGTGAGAACAAGGAGTTGCAAATTGAAGTTCCTACTTGACCAAAAAGCTCAGTGAGTGTATTTAGGCCACACTTCCCTCTTGCTGTCATTCTCACTATAGTCTACTTTATAATATTGTTTTTGTGAGAATCAAATGAGGGGAGATCTTCTCCCATCTCTTTAATAAGCTACTGAGCACTGACTGACTAAATGGTACTAAGTAGAGACTAATGTTTTGCAGATGAAATTGTACATAGATGTATAAGTAGGTACTTGAAAGATACAGGTGACTTCCATCTACAATCATACATGCATTTAACCTCCATGTAAAAGTTTGAGTTCGGTGTTAAAATATAGCTGCTGTAGCTGAGAACAACTGCAACTCATTGTATTCTGCCTCCACACCTGTAGTTTCCAAAATCTTCCCAACTCTCATTAGTGGGA